CGGCTGGATGGAGTCAACAACAACGACGATGGGCTACGACAACGACAGTGGTAGGCATGCAGCAGGCGGCGGGTGACAGCAGCAGGCGGCGGGTGACAGCAGCAGGCGGCGGCGATGGCGGCGGGCAACCATGGAGACGACAACAGGCAACGGGGGATAGAGGCTGGAATGCGTCGAGCGACAGGAGGCTGCAGACTGCGGGCAGCATGATGTAATTCAAATTCGGCCAAATAGACCAAATTCTAAATTCATTCAAAATGAACTATGGTGTAAACTTCAAATTAATTAAAACTTTACATTGTCTTTGTAAAGCTTCATACCAAACACAATATTTTCTTAAATTCCTGCAAAAGAATTACAGTAAACGAATAATTCACTCAACCACGCAAACCCTAAATTGGCGCATTGAAAATCTTTGGATTTAAAAGGTTCTCTATGTTCAGAAATGGACAAAATAAAATAATGAATATGAGGAAAAAACCAAACTTTTACAAGTCAATTTATTAATTTATGTGATGTGAGTCTCAAATTCCACGGGAATCAAAAAAAACATGTAGACAATGAACCTAACAAGCTAAAATTATCATAAACATCATCATCATTAGCCTTATCATAACTATTTAGAGTTAAAATAATGAAACATCATTTTCCATTCATTCCGAGTGAGTAATGTCTAAGGTGTTAGATATATTCTTTTCAAATCCTTATGAATAACTTTTATCCAAGTTATGTTAGGTAACACTATTTATATCTACTTATCTAATGGATGCACTTTCTACCACCCAAGTCAAGTATCGTATATCTTCAATAGATGTCACTCCAATCAATCATCTAATACAACTAGTCTTAAATTCATATTTCCAAATATTTCCGCACATCCATCTCAACATTTTCATTTCTATAAAGCTAAACTAAGACATCCATAATTTTTTCTACTTCCCAGACACAAAGGCATACAATATTGCCATCCTAGTTATACCTTTTGTGAATTAACAATAAAACCTCCACAATATCTTGTCAACGCACAGTACACTTGAGGCCCATCTCTATGTTAGCCAATTATCATTAAATTTATAAATTAGATCCTTATTTGTATTCATCTTTTTCTATAAATATGTTCCAATACATAAACATATCACACATTAATATCATTTTATCTCTAATAATAACCATTGATACTTATTAACACTAAAATTACATATCATATACCAGTCGTTGTTCAACTAATTCAAAATCATTTATCAATATCATCATAATCAAAGCAAAAGCATACAAACTTGATCTTAATCTTTAATATAATCCAACTGTAAATGAAAACTCTTTCAGTACTCCGCTACTTTTAATATTTAGCCAATAATCCATCACACATATTTTTAATAACTTCAACATGCAATTGACATGTAACGATCATATGCCTTTCAAGGTTAATTAAAATAACTGAAGCTTCTTTTTCTACTATATATACTTTTCCATTGATTAACTTAGCATTAAATTACTTTGAAACTAAATTTATTACTGGATTAATTTTTATAAGCAAATGCTCCATTACTCTCTCCTATAGCCTGATTGCACGATTCATAAGTTCGATTCATCTAAACTGTTTTGTTCTTAAATATGCATGCCAAAATGAATCATCTTTGGTTACATGGCATCATCTTAGCCTTCAAAAATCATATTAAAATGATTTATTAAATAAGTTACACAATATCCCTTGTAACTCCCCAATACTTTAGTTATCACATTTAGACATAAAGATTTACTTTATGTGCCATCTTTGGCTCTAATTACCCTTTCTTTTTCTTTTTCTTTTTTTTTTAGTTTTAATCAATAGTACATATAATTATATTGTCAATTATGCTCTTCCAAAATATTATTTTCTTAAAACTCATGTAATATATATCAGAGCAGAATTTATCTTTTCTCAATATCTTCGACTTTAACTAAGATCTTATAATATTAGCTTCAAATGCATCTAACTTGATTAAAGGTTTGAGATCTCCAATCTTAGTTACTATATGACTTTAAGCTTTCTTATATTTATTCCAAGTCTTAATAGTTTCTTATAAATTTGTGTCTCACAAGAGAATGCCATCCTTATCTTTGACTTGACCTTTATTCGCTTACCATAGAGTGGACTTCTTCTCCAGCTATCGGCATCATTAGAATTTTTTATGTGGCTAGGCTAAAAATCATTTACAAATAAAGAATTCATATCAGTTTTAAGGGAACTTATATATGTCCTCCTGTTTCTCTATTAGTGTGTTTGGGATAGTTTTCTGTCATTTTTTTTTAAACTGCAACCGCAATGGCATCAGCTAACAACTTTTCGATTATGCATCAAAGTGTTTTGTAGTCTAAAATATTATTTAAGCACATCATCATGCATTCAAGCTGTGCAGCATTGTGTACGGTTTCTTAATCAAATGTTTTACAATTTTATCATTCTATTTTTTAAAAATTACATAATAGCTGCAATAATTTTACATAAAATGAGACAAATGCTACTACCCTAAGCACATCCTACAATATTTTCATTTTCTAGAATTGTATGCCAGTGGAACTGCAGGTCACTTTAATATGAAAGAAAAAACTATTGCTCCAATCATCAAAAAGTAAAATGTGTGCTTCAAAACTATAGTATCAAGGATAAAGTTTTGAACTGATAATTAATTTAAATCACTTGTTTTCATTTTAGTGTGAGCTTTAATTCTGATAAGAGTTTATAATCTATATGTATAAGCGTAAGATGTTATCCTATCATGGAAGTTTGATTTATATTGATGTCCTTATTACATAAGAACTTACGAATTCCTAGGATTTCCTTCAATGATACATTCTTATGTGGTGGCTTCTCTAATTAATGACTTGCTCAACATTCATGGCTAGGGCTCTAAACACGCAAAGCTTGATGTTGACCTCAATTTTTCGTGAGGTCTAGTATTCCTCGTAGGAGTTAGGATCTAGCCTTAGAGGTCTTCCTGCAACTATCTTAGAATCTTACCCGCCTCGTTTTAGTTCGACCTTAGTTCGACCTGCTTCCGTCCCTTTCTGGAGTTTCGCGTGTGTGGTATCAACTTCTAGCACTTAGAATGACAAAACCAACCTGAGAAAACCCAAAAGGGATTCCCTATAGGACCTTTCCGAGCCTTAGGGTGGCCTTCTGCACAATTTGGCCTTCTGCACAATTCGCACGAGATTCGCCCTCCTGCGCGCACCGGTTTCGCAATTCGGAGAGTCGACGTAGCCGATCGCCGCAATTCACATTGCCTCCGCTGTTACTTGTCGAATGCTCGAGTAAACTTTTTAGTACGATCGATCGCGGGTCAATATTTTGTGAAATTTGAATTTCGGCGCGTTTTGACCCGATTGTCGACGACGTCGTCCGAGCAACCCCGGATGACGAAACGGACTGCGCCAACGCGTCCGGAACGTCGATTTTGTCCGGAGAGAACACCCATTTTGTCGCGTCGTCGCGCGCAAATAAATCTTTTTAATTAATATATATATATATATACATATATATTTAATATATATATTTATATATATATTAGTTAACTTTTTTTTCTTTCCTCTTTAATCCC